ACGCTGCAACTACGGCGATCATTTGGAAGAACAGATGTGTGACCGTTTGGTAGCGGGCATCAACAATCTCAGTCTAAAACGCAAGTTACTGGAGAAGAAGGATTTAACTTTTGCCGAAGCCCGGAAAATTTGTGAACAGAATGATGACTTGATGAAGGCTACTTCCAGCGAAGCAGTCACATTATTCCAACGGCAGAAGACTCCACCGAATCGACCTCCAACGGCCAAACGTGCACCAAAGCCGCAGAAAGATTCCCCAGGTAATGAAAAACGAAGCAATCCATGTTTGTCTTGCGGAGCTTACCACCTACGCTCCAATTGCCGCTTTTGTAATGCCAAATGACATGCTTGCGGAAAAATTGGCCACATTCGGAGAGTGTGTAAACAAACTCGTTGCAATCTTACACAGCCAAAGGCTTCAAACGACACACCTTGCGCTCTCTCTACGTTCTAAAGGCCCAGCCACCCAATTTCCGTACCGAGGTGTGACACTACAGTCTGGTACAACTCACAAATTCATTGTTGACACGGGAAGTAAGGAATCTATCATTTCTAATGCTGTGCTTCGGTCCATATGCCCCCAAGCAAAAATCCAACCGACATCCATGCGGATTCTCGGTGTAACTGGACACCAATTACCATTGCTTGGCGAGGTTTCATTGATGGTACATTCCAAATAACATCGCCTTGTTCCCCTACGCTTCCTTATTGCTAAAAACAGTCCATCCATACTTGGCCTAACCGCCATTCGTGAATTGAACCATTGTGTATCGCTCCATATAAACCCTATGTCCAATATGCACACCCATCTACAGCACCCGGTCGTGAAATGTTCCAATAATACGGGAGGTATGAACGTACAGCCGGCCAAACTGAAAGTTGATGGTGAACCCATTTTCCTGAAATGATGTGTAATTCCCTACGACCAACGTGGTGGTGTACTGCAGACCCTTGAGAAAATGGAGCGCGATAGCTAATCACACGAGTCACATCCAGTACGTGGGCAACGCCAATCGTGATCGCAATCAAGAGTGACGGCAAAACACCGCGAATTTGTGAGGACTACCGCTTAACACTCAACCCGCGGTTGCAAAAGTGTGCGGCTACCACCGTGGAACCGGAGGATTTCATGCTTCTCGAAGATTGACTTGGCCGATGCATAACTCCAGATTCCACTCGCACCAACCTGCCGGCATTTCACCACCATCAACACACCATGGGGACTGTATCAATACAACTTCCTACCGTTTGGTCTCCCCACATCCTCCAGCATATTCCAGGCGGCAATTGACGAAGTCATCCGTGGACTCGATGGCGTGTTAGCGTACCAGGACGATGTCATTGTGTTTGGCACAACGAAGGTCAAACATGAAGATCGACTTCTCAAACTACTGGAGCGGTTCGCCCAAAAGAACGTGTCAATTCGCGCCTCCAAATGCATGTTCAGCTCACCAGAATTGGAATTCTTGGGTTTCACAGTAGATGCAAAAGGCTATCGCCATGATCCAAGTCGCTTCCGCCCATTGACTGAACTCGAGTCACCAAGAGACCAAAACCAACTTAGATCCATCATGGGATGTCTTCAATACTATACGCGTTTCATCCCGAACTTCGCCACAAAATCCCAACCGCTGTTTGCTGCTCAGTCGACTACGGAATGGAAATGGACCACCGAGTGTGAACAAATTCTGCGTGAACTCATTCAGGTGATAACTGACCGACCAGTACTCGCCCCATTCTCTCCGACAAAACATCCAACTTTGATCACCGACGCATCAGATGTTGGCATTGGTGCCGTCCTCGAATATAACGGATGTCTGATTGTCTGCATCTTCCGTCTACTCAACAAGGCATAACGAGGATATTCACAGACGCAAAAATAAGCACTAGCTGTATATTGGGCCGTCCGTCGCCGACACAACTACCTGTTTGGATTGCGTTTCACCGTCGTAACCGATCATCAAGCGTTGCAATATCTATTCAGTCCACGAAAGTCGATCTCCAAACCGACGGAGGCGATGATTCAGCGATGCAGCATTGCATTGGCTGCTTACGGCTATGACATAGTGCACCGTCCGGGCAAAGCAATTCCCC